TTTCTGGTGCTTACACTCCAAAGATGGTGTAAATGGCATCTCATGGGACTGGTCCTCGTCTTCCTGGGTTTTCCTTCCCTCTAGACAAAGTGCCCTGACGCGCCCTTGCTCACCTTCTCGGTGCTGGAGCCCGGCAGCCCCGGAGGCTGCTCGCAGAAGCGCCGGACCACTGTGGAGGAGACGGCGCGGGGGGCGGCCTGCAGCGTAGCCCAGAACGGCGGCTTCTTCCGCATGAACTCCGGCGAGTGCCTGGGGAACGTGGTGAGCGACGGACGGCGGGTGAGCAGCTCCGGGGGGCTGCAGAACGCGCAGTTCGGGATCCGCCGCGACGGGACCCTGGTTACCGGGTGAGGAGGCAGGGAGCCCTGTGGCCGTCGAGGGCACAGGGCCTGAGATTTGGGTTGTAGCCATGCCATCGCGTTCAAGTCGCTTAACCGAGCTGAGCCTCTGCTTCCTCATCGGCAGAGAAGGGGTAGTAATATGGTACCTTCCCTGAAGACTTCATTCAATCGTTCTGTGTCACTGAGCGCTTGCTCTGTGTCAGGCAGGCACCGTGCTGGTCTTGGTGAAGTGATCCAAAACAGGCACCCTCAGGTTGCCCTAAGGGACCTCTCCCATTACTAGGAAAAGTAAATAAAAGCCAAGTAAATACTGATAATGTAAGTTCAGATTGTGTCTTCAGCAAGGCAATGATCAAGGCGAACCAACTATAAACAGTGCTGATTTTAGGTAGCTGGTGAGAAACAGGTCCCTCTGAGAAGGTGACCTTTGACACTAAAGAGTGAGCAGTCCCAAAGATCCAGGAGCTAGAGAAAGCACTCCAGGCAAAAAGAACTGCAGGCACAAAGGCTCAGAGGTTCAGGAAGGGTTAGGTGTGTGTGAGGGACCCACGGAAAGAGATTATCAGAAAGTGATAGGATTAACTACTTAGCAGCTTGCTCCAACCCTGGGTGTGGGGGAGCGATGGGGTTGGAGACACAGAGAGGCCTTAGAGGCACTTTCAAGGGAGTGTCCCCCGGGCCTGAGGTCTGTGGGGAATGGGTTGTTTTAGTAAAGTATGGGCTGATTGCAAAGGTTAATGTACAAAGGGATACTGTCAGAGCCCTGTGTAGCGTCAGTCTTGCTGCCCTGCTCTGATGACAGGGAGATTCCAAAGAGCAGCAGAGCACCACAGCTGCGCCGAGCTGCTGGCCTAGGCAGGTTCCTAGGCTAGGAGGAGGATGAGCAAGCAAGCCGGGCTGAGATGGGAGGAAGGAAGGAGCCCGTGGCCCCCAGCTGCCCCTGCAGGTGAGTGAGCCTCCTCACCCTCCCTGGGTCCAGGTACCTGTCTGAAGAGGAGGTGCTGGACACTGAGAATCCATTCGTGCAGCTGCTGAGCGGGGTTGTTTGGCTGATTCGCAATGGGAGCATCTACATCAACGAGAGCCAGGCGGCCGAGTGCGATGAGACACAGGAGACAGGTGGGAGAGAGGGGGGACTGGTGGCAGCAGGAACCAGGCAGTGGGGGTGTGGTTCTTAAGACACTGGACAGGTGTTTACTGAGCAGCTGGTTTGCGCTTAGCACTGTCCTGGGCACTGGGGAGCCGTGGGGATTGAGAGAGTCTTATGTGGGGCAGAGGAAGGGACATAGTTGTATAATCCCAAGAGACTTGATAAATGCTAAGAAAAAGGGAAAAGAAACAGATTGGGGGACAGGAGTTACAGGCGAGGAAACAGAGCAGTCAGGGAATGCCTCGTGAGGATCAGAAGGAGCACATGGGAAGAGCTCGGGGAAGTATCATTCCCAGCTGGAGGGAACAAAGTGTAAAGGCCCTGAAGCACAAGGGGACTGTTGGTGGGGGTCCCAGGAAGTGGGGGGGACGAGGCCAGGAGGACTGTGGATTCCGTCTGTTGGAGAGTTCCCACTGCAGGCTGATGTCACTTGGTGTACACCGAGCCCTCTGGCCCCCAGGTGACCTGGACTGGGAAGTGGGGGTGATCGCAATGAGAGGTGAGAGGCAGAGCCCCGAGGACCCCCAAACGCCAGATTGGCAGCCAGGCCGCTCTTCCCTCAGGTTCCTTCAGCAAGTTTGTGAATGTGATGTCGGCCAGGACGGCCGTGGGCCATGACCGTGACGGGCAGCTGGTGCTCTTCCACGCAGATGGACAGACAGAGCAGCGAGGGTGAGTCCTGGGGACGGGGGCCTCCAGGGCTGGGCTGAGTCCCGTGCTGTCCCATGACTGTGCCTTTCTGACCCACTGTCTCTCGGGAACGTAACCCACAGAGCTGCCCTGGCCTCCCTATAAAAAGAGGGGCCCTTAAGTCTGCCCCACTGCCAGGACTCCCCATCCTCCCCCTTTAGGGACACGTGTCACATGACAGCAAGGTCATCGGAGTGAGGTCTCCTGTGCTCACCCTTGGGGGATTAGGACAGGACGGCTGGGGGTGCCCTTTAGTCTAAGATTAGCAGAAGTGGGGCGCTCAGCAGCACTGCACTTACACCACAGCGTCAACCTGTGGGAGATGGCGGAGTTCCTGCAGGGACAGGGTGTGGTCAATGCCATCAACCTGGACGGGGGCGGCTCTGCCACATTTGTGCTCAACGGGACCTTGGCCAGTTACCCGTCAGATCACTGGTAAGCACAGCTGAGCCTCCTCGGGAAGGTCAATGTCTAGACCTACCTCCAGACAAGCAATATTAAACCCCTAGAGTGCACCGAGCCCTGGGAATTCAGGATTGAACAGAAGAGCTGAGGTCCCTGTTCTGAGTACCGCCCATACCTGTAAAGAAACAAGGGCCTTGGTCAGGAAACACCTCCCTGAAGATTGGGAAATAAGAGCCGAGATCAAAGCATGAGTCAGGCTGGGTGGGGATGGGAGCACCTTCCAGGCAGAGACCACAGTACTGTATGTGCAAAGGCCCCGGGGTGGGAGAAATGGTAGGGAGTGAAGGAACTTGTTGTGAAAGGGCTCAGGAGTGAGAATGGAGAGCAGGGCAGGAAGGAGCAGCCTTCATGGCCCACAGTGGGGGTGAAGGGGTCAGCACCACAGCCTCTCCTCACGCACTGCATCCCTCCCCCCGCAGCCAGGACAACATGTGGCGCTGTCCGCGCCGCGTGTCCACCGTGGTGTGTGTACATGAGCCTCGCTGCCAGCCGCCCAACTGCAGCGGCCATGGGACGTGCTTGGAGGGCCACTGCAAGTGTGAGGGGCCCTTCTGGCGGGGCGCCACCTGCAGCGAGCTGGACTGCGGCCCGGCCAACTGCAGTGGCCATGGGCTATGTACAGAGGGTGAGTGCTGCTGGGGCCGATGGTCCCGCCTCCCGCTCTGCCCATCCTCACCAGCCTCCTGGTCTTGTCTTGGCAGCTGGCTGCCGCTGCGACGCCGGATGGATGGGGTCCAACTGCAGTGAAGGTGAGAGTCCCTGCTGCCCCTCCCGGCCCCAGTAGACCCTCATGACTCCGAGCTCCTGGGCGGCCGGTGCCCCACCTTCCGGTTGGAAAGCTGCTGTTGTCTCTTACTCTGTTCACATGTGAATCCCCGCATGAGGCTGGGCGTGGTGGTGCACACCTGGACTCCCAGCACTCTGGGAGGCTGAGGCAGGAGGATTGCTAGTTTGAGTCCATTCTGGGCAGTTTAGCAGCCCAGTGAGAACCTGTCTCAACATTTTTAAAAGACTAGGGATGTAGCTTATTGTGAAGGCCCTGGTTTCAAATACTGCAAGGAAAAAAATCTCTGTAGTTTTCTGTGGCTCCTGTATCACGTTCCACAGAATGTTTGGCCAGAACCACAGAAACATCCTCTTGCAGTTCTGAGGCCACAAGTCAAAGACCCTGTGTAGGGCGGCTGTGCTTCCCCTGACCGCCCGGAAAAGCACACTCCTACCTGGAAGCAGCTCCCCTGGGTTCTGAGGCTTGCGTGGTATCGCTGCAGTCGCAGCTACCTCCCCATGTGTGTTTTTTCTTTCTGTCTTTCTCTTCTTTCCTTCTCTCTCTACTCTTTCTCTTCCTTTCCTCGCATAAAGACCTCAGGTCATCAGTGAGGCTCTGAGGCCTGAGTCCAGGATGGCGTCATCTGGAGATCCTTGACTTAATGACTCCTGCACAAACCATATTTCCGATCGAGCCTCGGTCAAGACCCAGCCTGGGGAGCAGCGCCTTCTTCAGCCCAGCTCCGCACACCGCTGGAGGGTACCCTTCCTTCAGAGAACGGCCTTGACCTGTCCTCCTGTCTCCCCTCTGCAGAGTGTCCCCTTGGCTGGTATGGGCCAGGCTGCCAGAGGCCTTGCCAGTGTGAGCACCAGTGTCCCTGTGACCCCCAGACGGGGAACTGCAGCACATCCCGAGGTACAGGGCCCCTCAGGGCCTTGGGGACAGGGAGGATGACCCCCTTCCTCCCACAGCCCCCTGCAGCCTGTCTCTGATATCGTGCAGTGAAGCAGTGTCTGCCGCCATCGGAGGTCACCCCGAGGGCCGGAGAGCGCACCCTTTTCACCAGGTGGGTGCTCTGGTGGGAGCCAGATCTCCCCCCACTGGCTTGTTAGAAATGGTATCTATCCAGGGCTGTGTGGGGTCAGAAAGTGTCATCTGGGCACATAGGTGACGTTTCTCCATTGTCAGTGCGGGGACAGTCTCAGCTGAGGCTGGCAGTGCAGAAAGCTGATGAGAAGGGTCCCCAACCCCAGGGGGAGCCGAGGAACAAGGCCATGGACTTAGCCCCCTGGCCTCAGACTTACGATTCCTTTGCTCAGCTCAGAACCACTGCAGACTCCAAGGTCTGAGAGACTCCTCCTTCCTGACACCTCTGAACACTCAGGATTGGTGCTGCTGGTTGCTTTGTTTTCAGCACAGGGGGTCTCAAGCTTGATGTCCCAGAGGAATTACGGGGGGAGCCTGCAGGATCCCAGCCCCAGAGCTGCCGCCTTCTGCGGTCTAGGGTGGATCCAAGACTGCATTTCTAACACAATCCTGGGCAGAGCTGCAGCTGCTGGGCCAGCAACTTCACTTTGAGAACCCCTGCACCGGCAGCTGTCCCCTCTGGCAGCTCAGTCCCTGAGGTGGTGTGTGTACAGATGCCAGGCTCCCCAGCCCTGTCCTAGAGGGAGTGCCCGGAGTGCTGCCCCCGTGAGTCTGGAGGAGGTTGGACCAGTCATGAGTCCCTGAGGGGCCTGGACCTTTCATGAAAAAAACCAGATGCACAGTCTGAAAACTCACCAGGCCAGGGACAAGGCTGAGTTCCAGAGCCCAGCTGTGACAGTCAAGCATTCCCTAGCTCACAGGATGGAAACAGAGGCCCCTGGGGTAGATCCACAGCTGTGGTTTATCTGGCTAATTTAACATTTAAAATATATCAGCAAGATCTGAAAATCAGTCACCATTTCTTTTTAAAGGTTTGTCTTGAAATATGAGGGGAAGCCGGGCATGGTGGCGCATGCCTGTAATCCCAGCACTCGGGAGGCTGAGGCAGGAGGATTGCTGTGAGTTAGAGACCAGCCTGGGCTACATAGTGAGTTCCAGGTCAGCCTCAACTACATAGTGAGACGCTGTCTCCAAAACACCAAAAAAAAAAAGGGTCCCACATAGCAGCTGTCCCCGCTGCTCCTGCATGTGTCTTCAGCATGCTCTAGGCCCCACTTGAGCCCCACCTGCCATTCCCTCCCCACCCTGAGCCTCCCCCGTCCCCCATTGGGTCTCTCTTTGTCCCCAGGACCACCTGGCTGGCCCTCACCCTGACCCTGGTGTTCCTGCTGCTGCTCAGCGTTGCAGCCAATGTATCCTTGCTGCTGGGCTCCAGGGCAGAGAGGAACCGGCACCTGGACGGGGACTACGTGTACCACCCACTGCAGGAAATGAATGGCGAGCTCCTGGCCACCGAGAAGGAGCAGCCTGGGGACGCCCACCACCCCTTCAAGGACTGAGCCCTGAGCTGCCCGATGGCCTGTCCAAAGGCCTATGTCTCCACAGTCCTGCTTTTGCAGGGGAGGGTCTGGAGCCACTGCCGCCAGCACTGCAGCCAAAGCTCCCAGCGGCCCTTGTGCTCCAGCCCCTGCTTGTCCACCTGCCGTGGCATGGGCCACCCAGCAATACAGCAATACGGTGTCCCAGAGAGACCACTCCTGCTTCGCCACCTGCCTGTATCTGCTGCTCAGAGACCTGTCCCCCAGGGGGACTTGCACTGCTGCCAAAGAGTCCCCAGTCTCCTGGGAAGAGGCGCTAGTGAACTGAACTCGCTGATGGAATCATGACGAGCAGATCCCAGCCACCCCCTGCACAGGGGTGAGCTAAAGGTACGAGTCTCCTCTTCTGGCCACATCACGCTGACCTCATCACCGATTTGCCAGCTAGAATTGTCTTGCTGTCATGGGAAGCTCCTCAGGAGAAGGGCAGGTGGGAGGGATGGTGCTGCCCTGTTTACAGACCTGCTGTTTCATCTTCCTGCCGCCAGAGGATTTTTCTAGCCCTTGAATAAATTGATACTAAAAGGAATCACCAGGGGGCATGAGAGTGCTGAGCCTGGGCTTGAGAGCCCTGAAGTCCTAGCAGGTGGGCCAGTGTTTTTCCAGCACATAGATCACCTGTAGGTGGTAAACTTCAGGCGGTGGTCTACAGGCAGTGTCCTGAGTGGGGCCGAGGGCCTGCATTTCCCGCAAGCCCCAGATCCTCTTGGTGCTGGTCTGGACCGTACACTGATGGCAGGGGTACTATTGATCCTTACTGTATTTCACAGAGTTTGAGTTGGTCACCTGTGGTTTTTGTTTTTGTGGTACTGGGGATTGAACCCAGAGCCTTTGCACTGAAATACATCCCCAGTTCTTTTTTTTAGTTTTTTTTTTTATTTTGAGGCAGGATCTCACTAAATTACCTGGGCTAGACTGGAACTTGAGATCCTCCTGCCTCGGCCTTGCAGAGTGCCTGACCCAACTTCCCTATGCTTCAGCTGAGGTTCAGACATGCACCGCCAAGGTTTTAGTCACCCATGTTAAGGTTAAGGAGCCCACACAAACTCCAGTTCTGGTGTCTCTTTAGAAGAGAGCACTCTGGCAGTCCTGGCCAAGTGGAGACTGTCGCCCTGCTCAGAGCCGCACTCTCCAGGCACTGCAGCCCAATGGCACCTTCTGTCTGTGACTTGCCCAGCCCTGGGAGTGTCAGAGCTTGTCACTTTGGGCTTCAGAAAGGGCCGGTGAGGTCTGCGTTGTCCCTGTGTACTTAGCAGCTTTTTCAGCAGGGGGATGACGCTCACGGTTTCCGCAGGTCCTCGAGTAACCCAGGCCCCAAACATGGTCCACTTGTGCTGGTTATCTGTTGCTGTGTTACACTGCAAAACTGGGGCAAAAAGCAACCAGTTATTACTTAAGAAACTACTCTTTTGGGGGTTACTTGGGGGACACTGCTGACCTGGGATGCAGTCAGCCGGGCTCACGCCTGTCCCTGATCTGCCAGCAGGCAGCTGCCTGGCCTGGGATGGTGACAGCTGGGCTCCCCAGGGTATCTCATCTTCCAGAAGGCCAGATCAGGCTTGGGGTTAAGATGGAGGTGGGTCGGAGAGAAGGAAGCAGAGAGGGAGACAGAGAAAGAAGTGTGCAGGGCCACCACTCAAAGCTGTTGTCATCTCACCTCGCCACCTCTGTCGGATAAAGCGGGCCACCAGAGCGGCCCAGGTTCAGGGGATGCAGGCACACCTGAGAGGTGCCGTGGGGTTGGGCATCGGATGGGCGCGTGCCGAAGTGCAGTTCCCGAGCCCGACTGCACGTTGAAGTAGGTTCCCCTGGAATGTTCTACAGTGAGAGACCTGGGCCCTGCCCAGACACACTGAGTCAGAATCTTGGGGAACGGGGAGAGGATCTCAGATCTACCGGGAGCACCCCCAAGGGGCCCGAGACAGTAGCCTTGGTGACAGGCTGTCCTGATTGCCTCTGTGAACGCCCTGACCTTCGAGAAGACATCTTTGTCCTCTGCCGTGCTGGCACCTAAGGTGAGGACTGGCTGGGCTGACCCCAGGCTCAGGGGGAGCACAGTTATTCCAGCAGAGGGTCCCCAGCTAAGTGACTTGGAGGCACGGGGCGATGTGAACTTCCCCGAGGCGCCATGGAATTTTTGTTTTTGTTGGAAGTCCTAGAAATTGAACTCGGGACTTTCACATTGAGCCATGCCCCTAGCGCTTTATTTTTTGAGCCTCGTCTTGCTAATTTGTCCAGGCTGGGCTTGAATTTACAGTTGAGGCTCCCTCAGTTCCCAGAGTGCTGGGATTACAGGCAGAATTTTGAATCTGTCATGAGGATAACCATTATCTTTGCCTGAAAAACATCCAAGCCGTCTTCCACCCTGCCTTAGGCTGGGCCCCCAGAAACAAGGCCTGGAGAGAACTTGGGACAAAGCCACGGGAGCAAGTGGTTTATCTGAGAGATGACCCCAGGCACGTTGGTGGGGAAAGAAATGGAAGGCAGCCTGGACGGGTGCACTAGTGAGCGGGTAAGCAGGTGCTCAGACGGGGGCCTCTGCCGCAGGGGCCTCAGGGCAGTGTCGGGGGCTGTAGAACATGCCGCAGTTGTATCCCTGGAGGCCAAGGGAGCAGGGGTGTGTAGCAGCCTATACCTATTCACCACTGCTGCTCCTGGGATCATCTCCATAGGGGCAAATGTCGCACAGCCACCAGAGGCAGCCAACAGAGAGGAAGGTGTGGATTCGTGCGTCAGGCAGCCCGGGCCGGAGCCTGAGAGCTCTGTGCGCCGTGATGATGTCACTGTCCACGAAGCCTCCATGCAACTTCAGCCCTGGGAGGAACCTTGTGTGGGCTCTGACTGGGGCCAGAGGGGCTGTCCTCCGATCGGAGTGTGTGTGTCCACGGCTCGGGCTAGCTTCTCACAGAATTCTGTCTCAGAAAAAGCTGCCCCAGGAAGCTCACTCAGAGGCTTCGTTCCAACTGTGCTTCCTCACAGATGGCCCGGTGACAGCGGGCACTGGCAGAGGGGAAGGGACATTGGTAGGAGATGTTCACAGCAGCCCCTGCTCTGGCCCCCCTGGGAACCACTGCCTCCTGTCCTTCCAGGCCCTGCCAAGTCCCCACGGTAGCTTCTGTGGCCAAGACCCATCCGTGAGGTCCCAGAGGTCTGCACCCAGGCACAGCCACTGGGCTGCTAGGGAGCCCTGGGTCTGTTTTGACCTCTGTGACCTAGGCCCCAGGAGGCCTCCAGGGAGGATCAATGGCTCAGACAGACGTCAGCAGAGACCTGCTGCTAAGCCCTGGTCCCAGCTCTCAGCCCTTTGGAAGCTGTCCTCCCCAAGTGTGGCTGTCCTGTCACCACACCCAGAGCCCCCACAGGTCAGCTGGCCATTTTTCTGAGATCTGTTGCCTGCACTCGGGAGAAACCCACGGAATCCTAGTGAGTAACGCTCCATCTCCCTGCCCCCGGCTGCACATGTGGAAAGGTCCCAGAGGCCGGGTAGACAGGTGGCCTTATGTCCATCCCACAGAGACCCACACCTATGCTCTCCCAGCTGGTAGTTCATGGCCTCCTAGCTTTTCAGAGTCCCGAGATGTTGTGGGAAGGACAGGCAGAACCCAAGGAGCCCGCACCCACTTCTGACATCAGGACTGTGGCTGTCCCAAACCCCAGGACATAGGATGGAATACAGGCCTCGCTTTCCCTGGACACCTGAGCCATCCATATCCTGGTAGGCAGGGTGAGCAAACTCAGGGATCTGCACGCCAGCACCACTGATAAACTGTGTTTACATATGGCACGGACCAGTGAGGGGCCACGCAGCATCCCCCCAACCCACATCTACCCAGAACCTCTGCAGGGCCTTTGGAATCAGGGTGGGGGTGGTGTTGTTTTTGTTGTTTAATGGTAGCAAAGTTTTATTAAAAGTAGGAAAAGCAGCAGGCTCTGCAGAGTGAGTTTGGACCAAGTAAAAGGAAAAGAAGTACACCCTCTAGCATGAGGGCGGGCACCATGCGAGAGAGAATGGAGTGGCCAAGGAATCAGGGTCTTTGCGTGTGCAATGAGCTACAGATCTCAAGGCAGTGTCATAGTGGATCCAGAACGAACCAGAAATCAGTGTCCTTGTAAGAGACACAGGAGGAAGCTGTGTGACAAAAGGCAGAGACTGAAGGGGTGGGGTCCCAGGCTTGGGGACTCCTGCAACCACCAGCGTGAAGCCCAGCTGCCCCCAGTTTATGGTAATTTGTTGTAGCAACTCCAGAAACTAAAAAGTGTGATCCCAGCCAGATGTGTGGCGGTGCACGCCGGTGGCCCCAGCACTCTGGGAAACTGAGGCGGGAGGGTCACACATCTGAGCCCAGCGTGGGCAACTTAGCAATTCAGAGAGATTTTCTCTCCAAGGGAATAAACAAATGAAAAGGCCAGGGATGTAGCTCAGTGTGAAGGCCCTGGGGTCAATCCCTCCTGTTGGCTCCCCCACAAGACGACGACCCCTGTAGAGCAGTGTGCAACCCCTTGGCCATCGGCCCCCCTGCTGGGAATGCTCCTAGAGTACTGGAAATTCTCCAGTAAGCCAAGGCCAACGCCAGGATTTGGGGAAAGTCAACAACAGGAGGCCCCAAATCTCAAAAGTTTAAAGCCTCTGGTGGCGCAAAAGATCAGGCAGACAAGAACTATCCCACTTCGCTGACTGCAGCAGTCAGTGTTGAAAAGAATGATATCATTCTCATTGAACAACTGATCTCACCAAGGGGAGGGTAATTCTCAGAACAGGTAGGAAAAAGACAAAAGACAAGAACAACCTCAAGCTCTTCTTATTTCTGTAGCCTGAGAAAAATCCTTTCCCTGGCTGAGGGAAACACCCCTCAGAATGATGCATGCCCTTAGCCTGTAATCCCAGCATTCTGGGAGGCTGAAGCAGGAGGATCCCAAGTTTGCGTGAACAATTCAGCAACTTAGGGAGACCCTGTCTCAAAATTTAAAATAAAAGAATTAGGGCTATAGCTCCCTGGGGGACAGCCCTGGGTTCAATCCCCGGTACTGCAAAATAATAACAATGACAATAATAATGTTCTTTCCAATTAGAAGGCTTGTTCAGAACCCAAGCCACTTCTAACAGGGAAAGTGCCTGGCTCCAAGGGCACCAGCGTCTTGACCTCCATGTTCTCTGGATGTCACCACACTGTCTCACAAACACCAGCGGGCGGCACCTCGGGAAGGAGCCTGGAGTCTGGATGGGAAGCACTCAACAATCAGAGTCACCAGACATCTACTGAATGCTTTCTGTGTGCAAGGCACTGTGCTAAAGACTGCAGCCACTCTCATTTTGTTCCACTGCAACCCAATGAGGTAGGCACTGCTGTCCCCATTTTACAGATGAGGAAACTGAGGCACCGAGAGGTTAAGTCACTCACTCGAGGTTATATAGCTATGACAGCAAGGCTGGGTTTTGAACCCTCGTCTAAACCTAACACCCAGGCTCCTAAACACCCATGTCGTGGTGCTCTGGGTGGTTCTGACCTGGCCAGGTTGGAGTGATGAATAGGATGTGGAGAGAGGCCTAGGCTAAGTTGCTTCCAGGCCCTGGGTCTGGGGAAACTTAAAGACCAAAGCCTGACGGCCCCTTCCTAGGCCGGTTTTCACTGCAGGCCAGCCAGCCTGTGACGAAGCTTCTCGGGGGTTTCAGAGACCTCCCCACAGAGCACCACGCAGACACCGCCGCAGACCTCTCAGCTGGGGCTAGAGCCCAGCGCCCCCTGCCCATCGGGGATCTGCCCTCCCGGTCCCCCTTTGCTCCTGCAGGAATTTCAGTCAAGGCTCCTGGCCCCTTGGCCCGGTGGACAAGTACTGCACACGTGCCTGGACAGAGCCCCATAGAATCTCCCACGAGATCTCCGATGAGAAAGTGCCTCTCTCCAGCTTAGAAGCTGCAAGCCCTGTGGTGACAGGGTTGAGGCTGCTGGCGGGAGAAAGTGAGGCCAGTGTGCAAAGGGACACAGAGGCAAGAGGTCTGGGGACACTGGGCTCCTGGATCCAGCCGTACCTGGAACGAGACCCTCCCAGTCATCCCAGTACAGGACCAAGAAATTCCTTCTGTCACTTAAGCCTGTTTTAGCTGGGGCTGAGGCTTCTTACCCCTGCTCCTGGCTGGACTGTGGCCCCCAGATCCTCGCCTCTGCAATCAGCTAGCCCAGGTTCCCCCAGTAAAAAGTTTCTCTTTCACTAGACAGTAAAGGTGCAGAGATCCCCAAGATTTCTCATCCCAGAGTACTTCTAGGAGGGCAGCACCTAGGTTTGAGAGACAAGCTAGAAATTCTTTTAAAGAGCATTGAAAACATCGCAAACTGTTCTCAGGGGTCAATGCTCGGTGACATGAGGTCTCTTGGCTTTGAGAACGTCTCCCTCCCATGGCTCTGACACCCTCATGCTCCCAGGGCACACAGCGGGTGCAGGGTTGTGTGCTCCGTTCCTATACCTGAGAAGTGGATGAGCCAGCAGGACTGTGCCGGGCTCTTATGGGGTCCGGTGCTTCTGAGGAGAGCCCTTTTCACTTCTGTGTAGGGCTGAGGTTGGTGTGGAAGCCAGTCCTTGTTCTCCTTGCCCCAGCATCCTGAGCTTACATCACAGTGACAGTGCCAGAGTTGGAAACCCAGCCCTGGGCTCAGTGATTCTGCCAGAAATGTCCCCACTCGAAGCAAGGCTGAGAGATAAGAGTAACGGCCGAGCCTCCGGCCCCCACACTGGAGTCCAGCTTCAGACAGAGCTGGCAGTAAGCCCTCCAGGCAGCTATCAAGGGCCACTGGTGGGGGCTAGGTGCAAGGTGCCCTGACCCAAGGGGCGTGGCAGTGAGGCCTTCAGGTGGCGACAGTGACCCCATTTTATCACCACTCCCACAGGCCTAAGGGAAATCAGAAATGCTTCTCGCTATGTGAAATGCCACAATGTTTTTAGCACTCTCTAGGCAAATAGCAAAAACACTAGAAGCAGGCCAGAATGGGCTCTAGGGTGCCACTCAGTGACCTCCGACCTGCTGTCTTTTTTGACGGGGGAAGGGCCCCAGTAAAATAAAAGAGAAATGTCCTCAGGGCCCAAGGAAACATAAGACTCTATAGTATACAAGCTGGAGAAACTCGTGCCAATAGTGGAGCAGGTTCCTGAGTCAGATCTGCCCCCCATATAAAGAAAACAGCATCCACCCCAACAGGAGTCCTGACCCCACGTGGAGAGCCTAGATCCAGCCTTAGCTGATGCTCAAGAGCTCCTGGTCCAGCTAGTTACATGCACCCAGGAATGGTAACCCTCTTGAGTTTAAACCACTGGGAGGTGGATCTCTGTGGCTTACAGCCAAAGCAGGTCATAATTAAGCAGGTCCTCAGGAAAGGGAACTCCAGAGGGGTACAGAGACAGCCTGAATCATCCCATCCTGCCTGGAACTTGGCAGGAGCCCTCAGCTTCCCCACTCTGTCCAAGTCAGGGTGAACAGGGTTAGGCCATCCCAGCCAAATGTTGGAGAATGGATCTCCAGTCCCAGGCAAGATGCTGCCCCCAGAAACCACAGCCTAACTTCTATCACAGCCCCTATGCATGTGCAAGAACACAGGGCACTGTTGTGCAACCAAATGCTGGGGTGACCACCATTCCTTTCTGCCTCCCAGGTATCTTTTCCTCCTTTTGAAATTGGAGACCCAGTATTCCTTGAGGGACCCCCTTATCCTATTCAGACCATGTGATTGGCTCCAGGCATGTGCACATGATCCATGCTGACCAATGAATGCACCACTGCCCACCCCTGAGTGACAGTAATTTGTCCACCTTGGACACATAAATCTCCTGGCCAATCAGCATTCTCCATTCCCTGGTAACTGTCACTGGTTCAGAATTGGGCGTGGCCCCAGCAGACCCATAAGAAGCAATTCTGGGAGGTGGACCAGAACTTTGGAGAGAGGGAATAGGGGAGGGCGCCCTACAAGATGGTGATGGGTACCCTACATGAGGAATCCAACACAGAGAGAACAAAGCCAGTGCTGAGAGGGGCTCAGTTCCGGTCCAGGGAGACCTAATGGTGGGATTCACATGCCTGGGCCTTAACACCAAGTCCAAAGGAGATGGTTCTGCCCTCGAAGCATCCAGAGCCCTGACCCAGGGGTCACATCTCACACAAGCTGAGGGCAAAATCCTTGCCATCTGGTCCAGACACCCCAACTTTGGCAGCAGCTAGACTAGACGTTTCCAGCCCACGCATTCTCCCAGGCCTCTTGGCAAGCTGGTCTCCTGCACTGGACACTTTCAGACGTGGCCCCGCGGGGCTCTGTGCCAGCTATCTGGAGACCAGGGAGCTGCGGTGGGACTGGCCAGACGAGGAGGAGGAGGTGGCCGCACTGAGCTGGGAGAAGCCACTGGTGCAGGATTCCAGGCTGGACATGGAGCCCCTAGGGAGGAAGGCACAGCAAAGTTACCTTCTGGTACATAAGCTGCTAGTGTTACAAACAAGGCCCCAGGGCTCATTCCACAAGGGGCCCAGGCCTGCGCAGAGGGAAAAATCGGTGACGCCAGGATGAGAGATGAAGTACACTCACGTCCCTGCATGGGGGCCCCCAGAACGGCGCCCAAGACATGCAGGGACCTTGCTGATCTGGGCCCTGGTGTGGCCAGAAGGTCCAGGCCTGGGAGGCACAGCCCGCCCAGCTCATCGCCCCCGAGGGCTCTTTGCAGTCAAATCTGGCCCCCTTCCAGCTCCTTGGGCCCAGCTGTCGTGGTTAATTCCTGCTCCGAACTTCAGCTTTGAGCTGTGCAGAACTCTGTGTGACCCATACGTTCTGCGTCTCTGCCGTCCAGGGTGGCGGCCACTGGCCTCGTGGGGCTCCGTGTGGGGCGCTTGAAATGTGGCCCGTGCCCCGCAGGCACAGAACTCTTCTTTTACTTGGTTCTACTCACTATGTTTAAATTGCTTCAGGTGGTTTGTAGCGGATTTAACCCGTTATTTTTAGATGAAAACACAGATATATCCTGAAGCAGAATGCAAAATCATTTGTTTTTTTAAAAAGGTCAACGGGAAGGCCTTAAAGACATGTCCTGCAACACCTCCAGACCCTCCGCTTCATTCTTGAGCATTTACTGTATGTCCCGGTGATAGGCAGGCTTCCCCCAGCCGCTTCTTCCTCACCACAACCTCACAAGGAAGAGCTCCAGCTGTTCCCAACTCCAGAGGGTCCCATTTCACAGATGGAGTGCCTGAAGCTCAGAGAGGCACGGAACTTGCCCGAAGTCACACAGCAGCCAGGAACAGCTGGCAGGCTTAACCACTCTACCTCTCCATCTCTCTGAAAGCAACAACTTGTGACAGCTGTCTATAAGACACTAGAATGTTCTAAGACAGCTCCCAATCTAGTGGAATTGGGGGGAGCACAAATCAAGACCTCTCTTTTTCTGCCCGGCCCCCAACTGCTCCGGTATACTGGGCTTCCTTCTGTCAGGGCTTTGTCTGACAGGAAGCGGATGCTGCGGGAGAATGAGCAGCAGCACTGGAGCTTCCCTCTCGCACTAAGGGCCTCTCCTTGTGCCTGAAGGGTCCCAGCAATGCCCACAGCGGGCCTGCCCCCACCATGGAGAAGCCCACCCAGCAGCGGGGCAGAGCCCAGGCACCCACAGGCCTCTACATTCCTGGGAGGGGCAACACCCAGGGCACTGGAGCCCCCACCCCATCCTACCTGAAGTCTTCAGAGGCCAGCACTTCGCAGTAGTAGAGGAGTCTGCACTTCCGGCCAGGACTGTGCAGGGCTGTCAGGACGTCGTCCAGGGGGCTGTGCACCTGCCACTGCAGCAGGTACACTCCAGGCCACCGTGTCACATGGGAGCCCTGGAACACAGCAGCCACACTCTGAGGCCCCAAGTCCTCGGGGATGGGGTGAGGAGGCTGGGCCTTCAGGGTCTTCCTAGAGCCAGCCTCAGAGCCGGGGCCCTTCCTAGCTGTCCCTTCCTGTCGCCCACTGAAATCTCCAACCCGGAAAGGGCTCCTGAAGCCACCCTGGCTGTTACCACCCAATCTGTGGGACCAGAGCCTCCCGTGAACCTGAGGGAGTTAAGGTCTGTCAGTGAGAGCAAGACTGGACTCTGGTCCTGCTGAGCCGGGTCTGCAGATGAGGGAGTTAGGGAAGGAGCTCAGCAGGGAGCCCACGGGTCTCTGGGAAAGCCTGGGGGGCAGCTGGGGAGGTGTGAGCTGTTACAAGAAGAGCAACTGTAGTAGTAGTGGACACCCATGATCCTAGCACACCGAGAGGCTGAGGCAGGAGGATCCCAGATTCAAGCCCAGCCAGGGCATCTTAGCTACTTAGTAATAATCTGTCTCAAAAATAAAATAAATAAGAAGGACTGGGGAATGTAACTCAGTGTGGAGGCCCTGGGTTCAGTCCCCAGTTCTAGGGCAAAAAGAACGACTTTGAGGAAGCACTGGAGCTCTCAGTGGGGTCAGGAGGTGCTGGGATGTGACAGGCAAGAGGAGAGAGCTTCTGGGTCCAGGAAGCTCCAGCAAGAGCCAAGTGCTGTGGAGCTGGGTCTCAATCCCAGGGTACGCACATGCGTGTGCGTGTGCGTGTGTCGAGGGTGGGGAGTGAGTCCACCTGCAACTCTGGCATCATAGAGAATGGGCGGCAGCTCGCATCCCACTTCAGCATCCAAATTCAGTGTCTACACCTCAGGTTTCTTTGCTGCATCGGTGCTGACCCAAGTACGCTTCAGGACTCCTCAGGAGAGAGGATGTGTGGACTCCAGGCCCCACACCCAGAGATTCAGGGTCGGCCAGCCAGGCATGGGGCCTGGCAACCTGCATCTTTGACAAGTGTCTTATGAGAGTCTGAGATTGGGAGGCTGGGTTCTGAATCTGCCCGCTGACCTCAGGACCTTAGTACCTCCCCTCCCACCCAAAATAACTTTCTATCCCTCTGCATCTCACTGTGGCACCCGCAAGCCTTCTCCCTGCCTCTTCAACCTTGTTCTAGATGTTCCTCCCACCTGGGACATCCTCTCCTCTCACCCCTTCCACACATACACCGAAGGGCCACCCCTCGAGACCTCTTCCGTACTCAAGCCACGTTGACTCAGGCAGGGAACCGGGACTTGGAACCCCAACACCCTCGCCCTTCTCCCTGCCTGAAAGGTGCAGCACCCTCCTCCCCTTCCTTCACAAAGCTTATGGCCACTGGAACCTCAGGATGTGACCTTATTTGGAAAGGAAGTGTTTGCAGTTAAGGATTTAGGGGGCCCTAAACACAATGACCAGTGTCCCGTCTCCCTGTAACAGAGAGGAGTGGGGAATTTGAACCCAGGACAGAGCTACATTAAGGACAAGGCCGAGACTAGAGTGATGCATCCACAGCCGAGGAGCTGCCTTGGAGAGAGAGGCAGAGGGTCCCCCTGGAGCCTTCACGGGACCAGCACCCTGAGGACACCTTGATTTTGAACTTGTGGGACCTCAACATTGAGACAATACATTCTGTTTTAAGCCATTGGTTTTTGGTAACTTATTCAGCAGCCACAGCTCAGTCCTGTTATGTTTTCCCTTTCCTGGGTAGGGAAATGGAGGCTCCAGGCCCCCACACAGATGCCTTTCAGCAGAGCGCCTCCTCCTTTCCCCATGTCTCCCTGGGTGCCATGTGGTAAGTGAGCATCTATTACAGGCACTGTGTGTCCTTCAACCCTGACGCTCTGCGGGTCCTGTGGCCAAGGACCATGGTTTGTCCACTGCTGTGTCCCCAGAGCCTGGCACTCACATGGCTCGGTAGATGACTGAATGATGGAAGCCCACAAACCTGGATGCTCTCTCCCTCCCGGCAGACAAGAGGCTCCTCCACGAGGCTGTAATCAGTGCCCAGGACCCAGCCTTTGTCAATCAGCTGCTCCCGGGGGCCCGAATTGGGCATCTGCTTGACATGGTACAGGCTGAATACCATGTTGCCTCGAAGGATGTCGAAGTCCCAGGTGATAACTGACTCCCCCTCCAGAATCTCCACGGCAACCTGCGTGGGGACAGAGGACAGTCAGGATTGGGAGGAGGGTGAGAGAGGACCTCCCTCCCTGGGCAACTCGCCCAACTGCCAAAGTGCCTGCCGCCCCTCATCTGATGGTCAGCCTGAGCACATGGACCCACCTCTTTCCAAAAGGCCAGGGAGATTCCACCCTGAGTGGCCATATGGTGCCAGAGATCTGAGGGTGCGTGGGCAACTCTCGCCTCCTCACACGCCGGAGCTCAGAGTTGTCCCACGGCCACCCTGTGGGAGCCCGCCCTAGAGTGAACTCTGACCCCACGGCCTTCCAGCCAAGCTCCACACTGTACCTCGTGGGGAGCCCCACGGAGCACGCTGGCCGAGTGGTAGGTGTCACTCCACTGCCGCAGCTGGTCGGCCTGCTCCTGCTCCTCCTCCGTCAGGTAAAGGGATTTGGGGACCAGCCCTCCTTCGGGGACATTACACTGCGGGTCAAAGGCAAGAAGGCAGCAGGTCGGGGGCTGTGGAGGCCTTGCTGGCCAGATCCACAGAGGGGTCCTGTGAGTCCTGAGACAGCTTGGAATAGTGACCCCACCAAGCTGAGCAGCAACTCCCATGACCCCACTTAGCACAGAGGCACCAACACAGGAGAAACTATTATTCATTTCATTTCACAGGGGAGGGGAATAGAGGCTCAGAGAGGCCTGGCCACTTGCCCAAGATCACAGAGCAGAAAGTGGCTCAGGCAGAGTACAAACCCATGTTTATCAGACCATCCCCCACACAGGCACACTCATGTCCCTCAGTGCTGGAATAGGTTTGGGTCCCTTCCGCACTGCACCCCACAACAGCCATGTCTCCCCCTCAGGGGTAGGGACAGTGGAATGGAGGGACCGTCCAACTCTACAGACTGCTCAAAAGAAAGCATGCCTGGGTGGCAGGCCACCACAGAACGATAATTTTCCCCATTTCACTTGTAAAACAACGAGGCCCAACAAAGCAGGGTCACGACCCAGTGTCCTCCACTAAGTTACTCCCAGATCTGTAAGTGAGCTAAAGTGGAAATAAACACCAATACATGTCTCAGCAAACGGAAGGGGCAGGCAAGCTTGGCAGAATCCTAAGACTGGCCTCTTTTTACCCAGAAATGGTGCCAGTGGGCTGCTGGGTGCTTCTTTTAGAGGAAAGAGAGCAGCCTGTGATCCACATGAGTAAGAGAGCTGGGACCCAGGGACACCCTGCCTGTCATTTTACCCCAAGGGAGACAAGAAGAGGGTCTGGACACCACCTGCCCTTGAAGCAGATGTGGGACACCAGCTCCAGGATAAGGGGCCAGAGGCGCTGGAGTCACCTCCCTGCTACAGAGGGCACGGAGTGGGCAGGTAACCTCTGCGGCCTAATATCTTGGAAGGAATACAGAATGGGTAAGCCATTGCCTGGCTTTTGGGCTTCTGGAAAAGTCTGTATCACGCACCGTGGGTTTTGGGGGAGGGGAGGGTTGTACCAGAGATCAAACTCGGATCTCGTGCTTGTGAGGCAGGCAGCAGAACCACTGAGCTAAATCCCGGTCCACCACTCACCATGTTTGAAAGAGCCAAAGTGAAGCCTCATCCCAACAGGTGTCCCGCTCTTTAGAGTGACTTCTGCCACAAGCCCCGTCCTCCTTAGAGCCACTGGCCTCCCAGGCAGGAGCAAAGGGCTGAGTCTGGGCCTGTCTTCCTCAGCCTCCCTTCCCCAGATCCCCAGCCCAGAGCCTCACCACACTGTCACCGCCCAGAAAGTCAGGGATCACATCTCGGTCCAGGTAGTCCACCAAGCCCCCGGGGCCCTGGTAATCGCTGCCACTGTAGATGAGGAACTTCCTCCTGGTGTTCTCACTGATGAAGGGGCTGATCTGGGGAAGTAGAGACAAAGGAAACGGACTTGCTCTCAGATATGATTCACAGAAGACAGGAATGATCATTTTTAACCAGGCATAGTTACACACGCCTGTAATCCCGGCACTCTGGGAAGCTGAGCCAGGAGGCCTGGGCAACTGACTTAGCAAGACCTTGTCTCAAAAAAATAAAAGAGAGGGGCCGGGGATTCAGCTCAGCGGATCGGTGGCCTGCCCTGCAAGCATAAGGACCCGAGTTCAATCCCTGGTACCAAAAAAAAAAATAATAATAATAATAATAAAATAAAAGAGAGTGGAGATGTAGCCTAGTGCAATGGCCCTGGGTTCAATCCTCGATCATCATCATCATCATCATCATTTTAAAGCGCACTGTTCCGTGCCCTCAGGGCACTCACTGCCACACAAGCATCACCTCTGTGTCCCATCCCAAAACGCTGCCTATTCCCACTCAGCCCAGCCCCTGGCGACCACTGATCTTCATTCTGTCCCCACGTGCTCACCCATCCTATACAGGGAATCCCAGGCTGTGTGGCTCCCACTCTTACCAGCGTCCAGAGCACCGGGAAGACTCGGGGGGCTCGCACAATGAGCAGCCGGCCCAGGGTCTCCGGGTAGTTGTCCTCCACCACCTCGATCATGCGCAGCAGGGCCTTCACACCCGGTCGCCACAGGTGCCGCATGCTGAGGCCCTCCAGGTCCACCAGACAGGTCCAGGCGCTGTGGCAGACACGTACTCATGATCCCCCTGGCTCGCCACCTCCCACGGCCCCCAAGACCCTGGCCAGGGATAGCCCAGGAGGCTGACAGACACAGAGCTAGGAGGAGAAGGGGCCACGGAACACTTCCGTGGATCTTTCCACAGTGAGAAGGCTACACAGCAGAGGCCCAGACTCCTAGGCCAAGCTCTCAAATTCAAGTCTCACTTCTACCCTCTAGAGCTGTGTGGCGTGGGCCCGGGACCTAAGTCCCTGTCGGGTTAGTGGCATGTAGAGTAACAGGCCTCACCTCAAGCAACGAGGCCTTCAGGGAGGCCTTCATGACATCCCTCATTGGAACATTTGGGGTGAATTCTGTCTCTGGTTAGGTGCTTAGGAACTTTCCCCAACAGCAAAGGAACTTAATCTTACAAACAGCAGGATACTTGGAGATAAAAGATGTGATCATTAAATTTAATTGTACCCACTTGATTGGCTTGGGGGCCACCTAGGGAACTGGCCGGAGCATACGCCTGGGTGTGTCTGAATGGGTCATGGAGGCATGGCCCTGGGGTCTACATTGGGTCCCTTGGCCTTCCTCTCTGGCACTGGTCTGCTTCAGCCACCACAGACTAGGCGGCTTTATTCCACTACGCTCTCTACCATGATGTTTCGGCCTTGGACCATTTGACCATGGACTGAATCCCCTGAACACTGAGCCAAGCTCTCCTTCAATTGTAGGTGTTGGGTACTGTGTCCCAGTGGCAAGACAGATTCAAAAAGCTTACTGAGCGGGTCCTGCTGAAAGGAACTCAAGCGCTGAGACCCCTGTGAGTGTTATATATGAGTCTGCCTCATCGTGTAACAGCTGTCATTTTTGATAGGCCATTTGTAAGCCCACTCTCAAGAAGGGAAGCCACCACTCTAAAAGGTCCACTCCTTCAGGGTCAGTGCTGCTGCTGGAAACTCAGCTCAACGACAGCAATTCCAGGGAGTTAGAGGGAACAGTGAGCCCCTGGGTAGGCAGTGACCCCTGGGAGGCTGGGCTGCCCCGGAGGACAGGTCAAAGAAGAGCTTGCTCCAGAATGCTTGTCTCAGCAACTCAAGTCCAAGGGACCCACGGGACAGGGGCAACTTGAACCCAGCTCTGCCACCAGAGAGTATTCCACAACCCCAGATGAGCAACACCCTCCCGGATGGAACTCAATTTCCCCACCCAGGACAATAGCAGTCCCTGCCTCGAAAAACCACAGTAAGGCTCAAGCAGAACACTGCCACACAGCCCCGGCTCGTTACTTAGGGGCAGTCCAACCTCAGCCCGACCCTTGCCTGATGGGACGGCCAAACTGTCTTGTGTTCCCTTCACATCTCTTCTGACCTTCCTCGTTGACAGAAAGAACCTGGAAGAAGACAAGGTGCTGGCCATAAAATCCATCGCAGGATGCAGCCCCACCCTCCACAGGCCGTGCCATGCCGTGCCCCGCCGTGCCCTCCCCAGGACAGCTACTCACATGCTGCAGCAGCGCCTCCTCCCCCACGGCCTTCATCAGGCCCTTGGTGTCCATCTGGCCCAGGCGCAGGATGTAGAGGGGGCGGCCATCTGTGCAGGGCCAAGCAAAGAGAGGGACTTTACTCAAGGGGAGACCGAAGACCGGGCCAGGTCAAGGCTGCAGACAGGAGCGTTGCCTCCTCAGGGGAAGAGACACCAGGCTGAGCTCACCAAGGACCTGTCTGTCCACTTACTGACTGAGGGGGATTTACACCTCCCTCGGGAAAGAGGGTACACGGAAGTGTTCCCAAAAGTTTCAAGAGAGCAGGGTGAGGGGCCTGTGGGAACTCCCCCACTCCATCTGGGCAACTTTGTTTTAAAAACAAAACAAAACAAAACAAAAAAAACTCTTAAAAAGAGAATGAGCCATGTCATGAAAGAGTACAGAACAGATAAAATTTAGTCCTTTGCTATCTGTCAGCTGAAACAAAAAGGTCTCATGAAGAACCATTTACTAACAGTTAATTCTCATTATTCATGATAACTATGTTCTATAAAGTCACCGTGAACACCACATTAGCAAATGCCAAATCACTGCTTTTAGGGAAATGTAGGCTTAAGTTCCAGCAAGCCTCTAGTTATGATTTTTGTTAACCAATCAATAGGTAACCTTGTTTGATATGCTTCTATTTAAGGCCACTTTATTTGACACATTATGTTGATTCGCGAACCCTGAACACCAGGCTAACAGCACTGTAACAGTTCAGGAACTCATGCTCGAGTGAGCCTTACTGAGCGCAGGTATTTTCTCCATAAGGTACACAGCAGCCTTCTCGCACCGAGGAACACTAAATAGCACATCAGCCCTATACTTCCGGCATTTAAACAGCAAAACCTCCAATAAAGCACAAAAGTACAAAAACATGTCATGGAACGGGCCACCAAAAGGATACCCGTGCGCAGTTCAAATGCTGAATCAGGAAGGCAGAGGGTCGCCCCGCTTGACTTCAGCAGAGAACAGTGTGTGGGGCTGCCCAAAATTTTCACCGTTCTCTACGTGTCCTCAAAAGAGCCATGAGTATTAAGTGGGGCTTAAAACAAATTTGATCAGGTTGGGTGTTCACAGTGTGAAGCCCACAATAAGGACCAGCAGAGTACTGAAGAGACCACGTTGGCCGGTTCTTCAAGAAAGCAGAGCATCTGCCCAAATCGATACATGCAGGTTTTTACATAAGGGATGTTGAAAAGCACGTGAGGCACTGACTTCCCTGGCTACTTACTTTTTTTAAATCTAGAAAAAGACTGTAGCGGGTGGCAGTGCCTCTCCAAAGACTTGTGTTCCTGTAAAGTATGACCTTAAAGTGTGACTTCCCTTGGAAACTGGGTCTTGGCAGGTACAAGTTAAAGATCTCCGGAGGAGATCGTGCTGGATGTAGGGTAGGTTAACCCAATGGCCTGGGGTCCTTAGGAAAAGAGACCACTTGGAGACACTAAGAAGAAGGTCGCAGGAAGATGGAGGCAGACACTGGAGTTACAGTGTCACAAGCCAAAGAGCACCCAACCCCAGAAGCTGGAAAAGACAAGCAAGAGTCCCAGAAAGCCTTCAGAGGGGGCTCAGCTCTGCTCATACCTCGACCTCTCTCTTCCACCTCCAGCTTCCAGAAGAAGGCAGAACGAGCTTCCGTTGCTCTGAGCCACCCAGAGTTTGACTATTTACCGTGGCAGCCCCAGGAGATGAGGCATTTTCTTTCACCCTTGCGTGAATGATCACAAGGATCCAAAGCAATCTCGGGCCAGCTCAGCCCAGGGCAAACACGTTTATCCTCAGCCCCAAGGCTATTCCAGTTCTACCGTCTTCATGGCTTGGGGGACACTTCATAGGTGCCCCCAAAAGTAAAAGGAGAAAAAGGATGTCAGCATGAAACGCGTCACTGACTGCACTTGTCAGTAGCCACGGTGTGTGGCGCACGTCGGGCGTGTAGGTTGAGGACACACCTGTGTCCTGGTAATGCCAGCCCCCTGCGTAGAACTCCTCCAGGAGCGCCGGAGGCCGCCAGGTCTGAAGGAGGAGGTCTACTTGGTGCTGCTTCCGCCAGCTCAAAGACTGGCACAGCATCTCCCGGGCCTTGTCCAGGTGGAAATCCCGCGCCCGCAGGAACCGGAGGATGTGCTGGTCTTTGGGAATCTGAGAGGCAGAGGGGGGAACAGCCCACAGAATAGTACTTCTTAACCCCCAGATAAAATCACAGGAAATGAGGCTTCTAGCTCATCTGCAAAACACTCAGCTGGAAAGGACTCTATTTTCCCTCAGCCTCAGGGCAGAGCGGCTGACTGTCCTAAGTATCTATGCTCCCTACCGCTGAAGAGTCCTCCCTCCTAGTGCTGGGAACAGCATCTTTCTCTGGGGCAACAGCTCCTCCTCC